GAGTTGCAACCAGAGTCACGGAACGGATTAAGTTTGTAACTAGAGGTACCACTGTATTTTCACTTCACACAAAAGGCAAGGCAAAACAAAACAAAACAGCAGTAGTCTGGCTCTTTGCAGGCTGGCTCATCCAGTGCTGAAGAGAAGAAAACGGGTATAAAACTCTTCACCCTGCTTGTTTATCTAAGTTATGGAGGATGATTTCAAATTTCTCTATAAGATCTCTGTTCTTTATTGAATTCTAAAATTGCTGCTGAGCTGGAAAAAATATTCCTCACTTCCTAACACTGTTGACCTTGCACGGTTGACTCCAGAAGGGGTCTAGAGCTCTTTCAACTGGCACAGAATCCTTGTGTGGAAGCCACCTGCTTCCCTCCTCCCCCAGATATGATCACTAATATTGGTTATAATTTCTCTGATCTTTGGGAAGACTATGTTTAAATGTTATTATTGATACACCGCTGACAAGCCATGAAATTGCTTTTGGAATGTTGAAAAGGACATCTGGTACCACAGCCTAGGCTTCTAAGCTGGCTTGAATATGGAGCTTGTCTTCACAGCCACAGTAATGTACTCTGAGTCAGAGGAAAGTATGTTGATATAAAAAGTGCGGCTCCCACAGCCTACCTTTACTATTCATCAGCAATGAAGCTGGTCTCTGTTGCTGTCTTCACCTAGTGGATACTTTCGGGACAATGATTGGGGGCCTCCTGGCTATCATTTCTTTTCCTTCCTGGTGTCACCTATTGATGGGAAAACCAGCACCCAGTTGCTTTCCTGAATGTGCAGTGGGTCAGGTTCAGGGTTCAAGCTGTCATCTTATATAATGTGGGTATTTTGCATTTGTTTATAATGGGGAGAAGGTGGATCATGCAGATATTGGACTGCTTTTCTTCTTGCAGGGGCTGAAAGAGGTTGATATTCCTGGGGGTAGGTACACCCATGATATCAAACCCTGCCACACAAGTCCTCAAAACATTTATATTCTGTTCACCTTGGTAATTAAAGAGGCTAGGGGACAGGAGAGGAATAGGCTCTGAGAAATGCAGAAAGGGAATCTGACCATTTGTAGATTGCTGAGATGCTTTTCCTTCATCCAGTCCAAAGCAGACCAGCAAGGTGTGTCTTTTTGCTCAGGCTGGAGATAAGGATAATAATTCTGTCTTCCTGCTCACCAACAGTTGAAGGTTCATGGCTTGTAACCGAGAACTGTGAAAGGCACAGGCTCATGCTTCTGATGCACCATCCTGAAGCCCTGCAATCCATAGGCTTTGCTCCCTCTTGGTTCTCAGCTGGGAAACCCTTGTGCTTTGGCACTAATAGGATACAATTGGAGGGGAAACCTCTCACTCTGCTGAGATGAGGCTGCTGCTCAACAAAGCCTGCATTGCTACTCTGCTGGACTTTTGTCTTGGGGTGATGGTGGTCAGATTGCTGCCTCTGGCCAATGGGGGAAGTACATATTGACTACAGTTTGGGGCCATTGGTTCAGCCACTTCTACATAGTCAGATGGCATGGGCTGTGAAGGACCTGAGTATGAACCCATAACTGAAATGGAAGAAGGTTGGCCAGACAAAGAAATTGGAATGCTCATGAGAAAAGTTTTGGTGAAGCTTCAGTCCTTTGGAAAACCAATGAGTCTTTTTCAACCTTTCACTTCTAAGCAGCTGGCCTCTGATTTTGGGTTTGAATTTAATTTTAATCAACTACCTGTGATCCTTTGAAGGTCATACCAAATGTGTGGAAACTCTTCTATCCAGTGGAGTCAGTATTGACCACAACATTAAGCATCTCGGTACTCCACTTTATGTCGCTTGTGAGAATCAACAGTTGAACTGTGCCAAAAAGTTACTTGAGTCAGGTAATTTATTAAAAGGTATATAATATCAACAAATCATTTTTACATGCCCAAAAATGTCTCTGGGTGGAGGACAGAGGCATTCAGGGAAATAACTTTGGTAGGCCAGTAGTATCAGTAAGATTGCTTTTTGGTGGAGAGGGAAGAGTGTGGTGCCCTTGACTAGGGAAGTACAGCACCCTTCTCAGTCCCTCCTCAGTTTTGTCCACCCAGTCTCCTTCTCTCTTAACTTAGTAATACAGGCCATGGTTGAAGAGAAGAAGGTGAGCCATATAGGATCAGACTAAAGGCTCAGTTAATCCAGCCTTCTGTTCCATAGTGGCCAACCAAATGCTTAAGGGAAGCTGAGGAGCAGGATGAATGCAGCAGCTCCCTCTTACTCATGTTTCTCAGAATACTGTCCTTTGGTACTAGAGGTAATAGTCACCCTGGCTTAGTTATTAGCAGTCTTCATTTTTCGTGAATGTGTATAACCTTTGTTTAAAAGACATCTCTAGTAGTGACTGGCATACCTTGTTTTGTTCCTCATATTGATTTGGCTAGAATTAACTATTTTAAAGCTAGTGGGAACACATCCACAATGAGCTCATGGTGAAGCAGCAGGCTCCCATAGGGTTGTCAAGAAGCTAAACTGAATATAATTGTCAAAACACAGTGGTTTCCAGTTCTTTTGATTACTTCAATTTGGCTGGGACCCTTGGCTGTAAGACATTCCTGCACAGTAATGAGTTTTCCTCTGTAGATTTATTTATAAAAATGTGTATGTCACCCACTCATTAGATTGTGTAAACATTCATATCTTCTCAGAGCCTTTCTTCAGCAACTGTGTCAGGGTTGAAGAATTTGTTTGGTTGATTTTTCATTTCATTTAATTGCAACGTTTTCCTTAAAACCACAGCCTTTGGGAACATGTGCCCTGTAAACATAAACCAATTTGAAATTATTTGAAAATGAATGAACTGTCATAGCTTCCTGCAAAGGATTCGCATTGCTGTGTGGCATTAACATGAACACAGCAACATTCTTCATGTCCCACAGACATTTCGGTTCAGTACAGTTTATAAGTTGCTTTGTCAGTAAACCTCAGTATTTAAACAGTCTGAAGCTATTTCAAATCTGAACTATAAAAATAAATGATTATTTAGGAGGCCTTATGATCCTTCAGCAATCCATAAACTGAGAAAGATGATCATTCAGACGGATCCGAGATAGCAGATGAAATAAGCAAGTTAAATTACTGTTTATTTTAATTGTTTTATCTCCTTTGTTTTAGGAGCAAGTGCAAATAGTGGGAAAGGCCTGGATTCTCCTCTCCACATAGCTGCTCAAACTTCTGACGTTGACATGGTCCACTTGCTCATTGATTTTGGAGCAAATGCTAGGGCTGTTAATGCTGACGGCAAAAAGCCAATAGAGCTGGTTCCAGCCAACAGTGCACTACTGCAGATATTACTGCAGAGAGAAGGTGCCCATTAACCTTTGTTTCTTTCAAACACAGAGTATGTAAAGAACCTGAGGCATGCTTTGAATGGACATACCTCTATCATATTGTTAACTCTTAACAATGCCAGAATGAGCTGTTATCGCATAACATTTTGCTAATATTTCCACTTAGTTGCAACCACGAATGCTACGAGGTGGATGCAACCCTACAATATTCAAAGGGAATATTCAAAGGGGATAGATTCGAGCACTTCTTGTGGGATACTGATCTCAGACACAAGTGGAATGATGCGTTGTTCCAAACCTGAAGTTTCAGTTATCCTATTGTTATAATAATAGTTCACAGTTGTAGATTTTTTATAAAGACACTAACTGAATTCAACAGTTAGGAAGAAAAACTTTGAAGACAGAATGAGTGTGCATCACACATGAATATATGCACCCACTGGGAAACTGGTTTATAGTGACTTTCTAGCTAGGATACTTTTATTCTCAATAAATGTGTACCCATTTATGATTTTACACATTATGGTGTATGGCATTTTTCAGAAACAATACACAAAATGGTCCAAAGATTTGCAAACGGTTTGTTCCACTACAATAAATTGTTTTGCCTGATACTGTAATAGGATCATTTAATTCCAAAGGCATAAACAAAAGGTTATTATATGGTGCAATCTGCATAGTGTTAATTATACTGCTGTGAAAGCTTTAAAGGTCAATAACATGAATCTCATCATCAACATAGATGTAGAAGCTTGATTAATTATCCAGAATTTTTTTCTTTTAAGCTGCTTTTTGTGACTGATTAATCTTCAACAGTTACTCTAGAGTAGGATAGACAAACTACGAATAATTAAATAAGTTATAGCTTGAAATTTTCAGCTTCCTATCGCGAGCTGAGAAGCAGTCAAAACAGTTTGTTTAAAACTGTTTTGTTTAGATGTTTTCTATAAATGTTGTTATTCTGGATTACAGGGAATTAAAACTAGTTTGAACCCTTTGGAAAACATATATTAAGATCATTCTTGTGTGTGTGTGTTTTTTGGCATTTTTTTTCCTTAGGGCCCTTCTCCTTGATGCAGTTATGTCGCCTGTGCATCCGGAGTTACTTGGGAGTCAAAAAGAAACAGAGAATTAGTGAACTTACCTTACCAGATGAGCTAAAGAGGTTTCTTTTATATCTATAAAAGTGTTATATTCCTTGCTGATATATACGAGTTTTACTTCTTAGCAAAATTGTTTGTACAATTTACATTCCAAATACCCAATCAGGGTTTTCAATAGGACTAGTTTGTATGTCTCTGCATTTTTTAATGGTTAGTTCCTATTTGTACATTAAATAAATTTGAGAACTAAATTAAACTTCAATTCCACACAGCTGATTTTCTGAGGTATGTTATAAATGCTTCTGTATTAGATAGAAGATGCCACACACATACCATACTGTATTCTGTTATTAACAATTTTCTGTGATATGGTCTCACAGCTAATCAATAAAGTATTGTTATTATTATTATTAACAGTTTTCAGGAAATGATATTGTTTTAACGTTGAATCAGGCAGACAGTGTGACGCTCCTAGGAACTAGCCTGGACACAAACACTTTCCTTAGCATGTTTAGATTCCTTGATTATCTGAGTTTACTTTTTAAAAATGTTATTTTAATTAAAATACATAAAAATGGAAACTTAGGTTTTCTTTAGTAAGTTTTATTTACTCTGGGTCATTGACCTTTAATAAAGAATTTGAAAGTATGCTTAGTATGCTATAAAATAAGACAACAGACTATAGCATCACCTTTGTTTCTAAGAAAACTTTACACAGACATTTTTAGAAAATAAAATAATCAATGTCTAGCTCAGTTCTTTATTTAAAATTCTTCCCATCTGCTCATTAAAGAACAACAAAAATAAATATGGATGGGCCAGAGCAGTGGGGAGAACTAGAGATAGTTACTTCAAGGGATATCATTGGTTTACCTTGTGGTAACTGGATGTTTTATGTCTACAGAAGCCATTTTGAGACCATGACTCATGAAACACGCTCTAAAAATTCAACATGCAATTTTTTCCCCTTTTTTATAGCATCTGTGTAGAAGCAGATATCCATCCAGACTCCTATAAAAGTAACAACTAGAGCAATAGAAACATAAATAAGTAAATACATAAATAAATACAATAGAGATAAAAAGAGAGCCAGTTTGGTCTAGTGGTTAAAGGTCCAGGCTAGAAAACAGGAGACTATGAGTTCTAGTCCCACCTTAGGCATGAAAGCTGGCTGGGTGACTTTGGGCCAGTCACTCTCTCTCAGCCCAACTCACCTCACAGGGTTGTTGTTGTGGGGAAAATAGGAGGAGGAAGGAGTATTAGGTATAAAAATAATAAAGGTAGGATAAAAAATCTTTTAAAAACCCCACTAGAATTCTATCCCCATTCTCTTACTGAGTTTTTGAAGGAGCTCTTGAAAGTATAATATAATATTATAATCAGCCTGATATCAAAAATTATGCAGAAAAGAACTTTGATGATACCAAGTTGTTGTTGTTATTTATATTTAGTATAGCTGCCCACTCCAAAAGACACTGGCCTGCTTACAGCATAACAAATATACAATTAAGACAATTAAAAAATGTAAAAGCACAGATAAGTAAACAGCCATAACAGTCAGATGAACACAACAGGGGCTCTACTAGCAGAATTACCCCAGCTCTGAGAACAGAGCCAGATCTTTTGGTATGCACATACTGTACCTAAATATTTTTAATGGATTCTGTACAAATACAAAATTGATATTTCTTAAATGGACGAGTAACTAAATGTTCACCTACTGGCATCAATTCTGATTTGGACCAATTAATAGAATATCTTGCTATTTTACTAAAGGCATATATCATTTATATCAACACTGGAATAGTAGTATGAGGTTTAGTAATAAACAAAAGAATATCATCTGCAAATAAAACCAATTTGTGTTTAGCTGAATTATGTACTACTCTGTAAATCTCCCTATGTTGTCTAATAGCAAGCCAAGGGTTCCATGCAGACATTGAAAATCAAGGGTGAAAGTGGACATCCTTGTCTAGTTCCTCTAAATGATGGGAAAGTAGCAGAAAGAATACCATTATCCTTTACTTTAGATGTGGGCAACTCATATAATATCTTAATCCACTTTATAAATTTCAAGGGAAATGCAAACCTATTTAATACAGCAAACATGTACTGTCTATATATTTGGTCAAAAGCTTTTTCTACATTTAAAGGTAGAATTACAAATTGGTCTTTATTTTTATTCAAATCTATTAAGTCTACAACTAACCTAATGTTGTCAGCTGCTTGCCTAGTTTTTATAATCCCTGCCTGATCATTCTTCATAACGAATGGCATCACTTGCTGTAATCTATTTGTTAGCGCTGTTAAGATCTTTGTATCAACATTAGTCAGATAAATTGGACGATAATTAGCACATTGAGTATGATCTTTACCTGGTTTTGGTATAATTGCAATGTAAGCCTGATTAAATGCTTAATATTCTCTCATCAAGCATCTTATCATACAAGTGACAGAGTTTTGGCACCAAAAGATCTGTAAGTATTTGATACCATTCTATAGGAAATCCATCCAAACCTGGGACACAGCCAGCTTTTAACGGCCTTCCAGAATCCTGAGTGTTTTAAAGTTATCTTTTTATGTTAATCAGTAAATGGAGTTGGTGCATCTCCAGTCATAAAAGATGCCATTTCCATAAATTTCCATTCATAATCCAAATCTAAACCCAGCTCCATTTTCTATCTTTTGATCTCAGCATGATTCTTTTTCTGTTATTTATCAAAAGCCTAAGTCTAGCCTAAAATGTTTTTTCTGAGTGCTGATAAGATAAGAATATTTTATAAATGGATTCAAGGCAGACACAAGAGAAGTTTCATTCTGGTTAGAGAGAGAGAGAGCATAACCCCATTTAAGTACACTTTGGAAGTATATAAACTATATCTTCCATCTGAGTTCATTCCCCCTGCCCCCAATAGAGTTAATGGTGCTGCTTCAGACAATTGCTAATCATTAATCAGAACTTTTCCCACCCCTGGAAAAGACATATGCTATTTGTAGACTTTTCATTTTGGGAGACAATTTGGTAGAAACTAAGGGTGATTTTAAAAAAAAAAAGTGGGAAAAACTGGGATTGTTTTCAGTTTTCTGATTTCTTCATTTCTGTGATCCCTCAGTTGAACATGTTCAACAAGAGGATGCCATTATTTTCCAAATTGGACAAATAGAATTAAAGTACACTAAGAAATATTTTTCATTCAAGGTCTGCACAGTATGGCCAAAGAAGTCAAGAGGGAAACTTTGATGTACTGTTGTGACTGCCATCTTGACTTTTTTTTTATCATACTCTGTAGAACCCCCTGTTTCCTTTGGAGCCAAAATGGAAGTCAAGAGGGAAACTTTGATGTACTGTTGTGACTGCCATCTTGACTTTTTTTTATCATACTCTGTAGAACCCCCTGTTTCCTTTGGAGCCAAAATGAAAAAAAGGATTTTACTCTATGACATCTAAGGGAAAATGGTATGGCCACAAATCAAACTAGCAGGATTATGTTCAAATAATAGCTTAAGTATACATAGATATTATTATGACTAAGAACTTTCTTATTTATTTATAATTATCAAAGTCATATCAAATATTTATCAGGTCTTATCAAACCAATGGAGCATTCTGGTAGTCATCAATTTACTGTAAGTATAAATCTGTGATCCTCAATACATTTCCTAGGGATTAAACCTCACTAAAAACAGATGCCATCTCTAATTAAGGGCTGTATCTGCAATCCAGAGTTCAAAAAACTCTGTTCATTCTTCTACATTCTTCTTTTTCTCTTGCATCAAGGACAGAAAAGATATCACTGAGACTCTATCAAATCCTGGGAATGAATCCTGTCTGCTGGTGTTTGGAGTCTCATCTTCTCTGTGCATTTGGCTGGGTGCCACAAATGATGGGGTTAACAGGTGGGTGGATTCACAGGTTGGATTTAAGGTACATTTGGAATTATTAGCAAATTGAACAGATAATGGAGTGGTAGCATTCAAGACTTCTTTGCATAGCATTTTCAGGTCAATTAAACAAGTCTTTAAGGCAAGGTAACATATCAAATTGGCAAGGTGGTGAATTAAACCATGTGAAAAGATGTTGCAATCATGACCTAATAAACTGATAAAAAGTGTTAAGTTAGAAAACTGTCAGGCACAAGTCTTTTATGCTATGTGAACTACCATGGTATCAAGAACAGGTCATGTAAATCTTGGGGCAATAAAGGAGTTTTCTGAACAATCAAGATTTCCTGCAAAGACAGGTGGGACTAGTTAATAAAATTTATTCTACAGTTATTTCACACTCCATATGCAGAGATTGAGATGTTATTTTGAATTGCACAGCAGAAACTATTTTATGATGCATACATCATCATTTGTGGCAGGCAGATATATTGTATGTGAAATAACAATTTCTCATGAGCTACTGATAAGGAGGTCTGCTTGAACCAGATAGAGAACAAATTTATGAAGGAATCTGCATTGTATATACTTGTCAGTTTGAGACTATCATCAGGGAATTAATGGCTGTAGTCTGAAATGAGAACCTGTTTGGTGTTGTGGCTAAGGCATCAGACTAGAAGCAGGAGACTCTGAGTTCTAGCCCCACCTTAGGCATGAAGCCAGCTGGATGACCTTGGGCAATCACTCTCTCTGTCAGCTCTAGGAAGGAGGCAAGGGCAAACCACTTCTGAAAAACCTTGCCAAGAAAACTGCAGGGACTAGTCCAGGCACTTGCCGGGAGTCAAAAACTGACTTGAAGGTGTGTGCGCGCACACACACACAAGTCTGAAATAGGTTGGCTCTAGTGTAATGGGTGGGAGAATCATATCTTTTGCTGTTACTACTAATGAACGTGGTTAAAAGAATTATAAAGGCCCACATGGATGGGAGATTTCAGTAGGCAAGGGAATCCAAAGCACTGAAAAAGTAGTAATCTCTTAAGGGGAAAACCCTGAAGAGTTAGTCACTCCCACTGATCCCTCGAAATTCAGAGCAATGTGGATCATGTATGGCTCAATGACCACAGCTCGAGGAACTTCTGTGGTGGTAGTGGTTGGGAGAAAACAAAAACTGATGAAGAATGGAATGATATATACTGTAAATGGTGTGTGTGTGTTTGTGTGTGGTATAAATGGTATAGATGGTATAAATGGGGTGTGTGTGTGTGTGTAAGAATGGAATGGAATATAATTGAAATATTTCAGTTATATTTTGAGCAATACTGGGAATAATATCAAGTAATAAATTGGGAAGCTAGATGGCTCAAACATCTTTGTTTAATCCAACTGT